TAGCCCCGCCGCGACCCCCCCCCCTCCCCCCCCCCCCCACTGACCTCCCTCACCCAGGCCAGGGGATTGTAGAGGGGAGACTTGTTCTTTGGCCTGCTTCAGGACTGACAGAGCAGCTGGAGGGACCTGGGAGGGTGCCAGCTACAGGAGCCGGGGCTGGGCTGCTCACTGGGTTCCCGTCACTCTCTTGTCGAGCAGAGTTCTATCCGGGACCTCCCATGATGGATGGGGCCATGGGGTACATGCAGCCCCCGCCGCCGCCCTACCCTGGGCCCATGGAGCCTCCGGTCAGCGGCCCCGATGTCCCCTCCACTCCTGCAGGTGAGGGCCCTGGCTGCTCCCCGTGGTTGCACGGAAGCCCCAGATAACGAATGACCACTGGCCTAGGGACGATCCCAGGGGACCGGCAGTGTGGTGGCCTGGTGGCAAAGGGGTAGATTCCAGCCCCCACTCTGTCCTTTAGCTGGCCACGTGCCCTGGGCCCAGGAAGGTCCCCCTCTGCACCGCAGTCTTCTCATCCACAAAACGTGCCAACGGCACCACCTGGGGGGCTTGTGGTGAAGATGGGGGGGGCAGGAGGTGTAGAGGGACCAGATGGGACGGTGTGGCATGCGGTAAGTGCTCAGGAAGGGTTCTCCACTGTTCTAGTGATGGAACTGTGTCCTCAGCACCAGTCGCCCCGAGCACCAGGGCGCCGGGGCCATGGGGGCAGCGGAGGAGGCGGGGGGGCGGAGGGGCTTGTCCCCGGGGCTCTTCCCCAGTTTGTGTGTCCTCACAGCTGAAGCCAAGGCCGCCGAAGCAGCCGCCAGCGCCTATTACAACCCAGGCAACCCACACAATGTCTACATGCCCACGGTGAGCGGGGGGGCTGTGGCACTGGCGGGACCCCCGCAGCCCCAGTTTGCTGGGATTTAGGGGCAGGAGAGACCTCGGCTTATTCCGACCCTTCTAACGTGATCTTTCCTTTCTTCCTCAGAGCCAGCCTCCACCGCCTCCTTACTACCCCCCAGAAGATAAGAAGACCCAGTAGACCGCTCGCAACCCCCTCCTCCCGCCTCTCTTTGCTCTCTCCTCCCCTCCCCTTGGGGCTGAGTCTGGGGTGGGGGGCGGACCTCGTCCTTTCTCCAAGTCTGATTATAAAGCAGTCACCAGGAACTAGCCTGGCAGGGGGAGGGCCCCTTGACCTGGATGAATATAAAGCAGTCGCCAGGAACTAGCCTTGAGGGGTGCGGGGAACGGTGCCTCCCAGCTTCCCACGTGAGCCCAGAGCCCACAGCGCTTCCCTCTCACCATCCCCGGGGGGCGTCCCCCTCGTTCCTGTCCTGCTCTCATAGCTTCTACCCACGGAGGGACTCTCTGGCCACCTCCTCCGCCGCAGTCCAGCTCCCTCGTTTTGTAGCCACTTTATCCTCACGAGCTTTGCCCTCCCCAGGGACCCCTGCCAGGCCCTGCTCACATTCCATCCACTCTGGTGTGTGCCTGGCTGTGGAAGGCCACCTGTCTGCCGGACTGTCAGCCTACATTCCATTCCTAGCCAGCCTCAGCCCCCATCGTGCTCGCCTTCCCTTCCCTGTCCTTGGTCATCCTGTTGCCACTGCTCTTGACCTTTGGAGCTTTCCCACGCGCCACCAGGGGTGGGTGGCATGAGGGCCAGGCTGCTGCAGCTGGGCAGGGAGCCCCTCTGCTTCTCTGCTAGTTTTTCTGGAATTTGTTTCCCTTTGCCTTCTCTCTTTTCCCTCTAGAAGGGGCTTCTTGGACTGGAACTGGAGAATGCATGTCCATTTGGGGGCTGCCGGGAGGGCTGGGAACAGACCCCCTGGGCCTGGCCTGGGCGCTGACCATGACCTCTCGCCAGCCCCTGGGGCCTGGCCTTTTTCCCTTTTAAGCTTCTTGCCTGGTTGGTGATATGCCCCCTGGATGCACTAAAATTTGCTCCCATTTGCTCCTGGACTGGCTGTGAAGAGAGGAGATGGTTATTTAAAGAGAATTCCCTATTTATTTGACAAAAAAATTCAGTTAATATATTAATGTGAAATAAACCCTGTTTGCACCTTGATTCGTCTGCTGAAAATGTGAACTAGTAAAAATGAGTGACTGGACCCTGTCTGGCTCTGCGTGTGGTGACGAGGCAAGCTCTTGGGAAGGAGAGCCATCTGGCTGCTCGGGGCCGGGGGAGGCAGTGTTCCCTCCCGTGTGAGAGTCCCTTGTTCTCTTGGCCTATTTGGGCCCAGGATGCTAAGGCCTCTCCTGTGTCCATTCTGTGGCAGTTGCTCAGCAACTGTGCCCACCCACTGAGTCCCCTGGGGCCTGGCACAGCCCAGCAGCTGCTCTGGGTGGGAGGCGTTGGCAGGAGGGGCCAGGCTGGACGGGAGTTCCTGCGTCCCTGGCTGCTGTGCTCACCGCCTTGTCTCCTGGGAGTTAGAGGGCACGTCAGTGAAGGCCAGCCATTCAAGACTGGCCCCCTGCAGTGCGGGCTCTGGTGCCACCCTCCTTGTGAACCCTGGGGCTGGGGCGGGTGGGAAACGGCCACCGTCCATGCCCAGGCCTGCACCCCCTGGACCCTGGCCTGGAGGGCGGCCCTGGGACCCTGTGGTGGAGCTCAGCCCAGCACCGAAGCGTCCATTTTCCTGTCCCTTCTGGGCCAAGTCGCCCTGTCAGGAGAGTCTAGGCAGTAGCCTCCCCAGCCTGTTCCTTCTGCAGCCCCGCCCAGCAGCTCCTGGGGTTGGCTGAGCCCCCTACAAGGGCGTTGGAAGGGAGCAGCCGCCCGACCATCCTTATGGGGGCCGGGGCTGTGGGACCGTCCCTGCCCCGCGCAGCCTGGCCCTGTCACCTCCGTGGAATGTCACCTGGGTAGCAGAGCAGGTTGAGCAGTTGGCTGACGGCTGGGGAGACGCCTCTCTGGAGCCTCCACCCTGTGCCCTGCCCACCCCTACTCCGGGTCTGCGGCCGGTTCAGGGAGACCTGAGGTTGAGAACCCCACCGGCCAGGGGAGCGTCCCCCAGTCACCTGGATGCGGCAGGCCCGCTGCCCCCCTGCCCTCATGCCCGCTGCCCACAGCACTGGACCCTCCCCCGGGCCCCTGTGGGAAGTTGGGGTGGGGCGGACCCGCCCACCTAGTCTACCTCTGCCTCCAGCCCAGCCGAGTTCCTCCCAGGATCCCAGCCAGCGGGAGGGAGGAAGGAAGGTGCAGGGGCCTGGGAGCCGTGGCCCCCCAACCCCAAGGTGGTGAAATCCCGACCTGACCCTCCCGTGACCCGCCCTTCCTTCCCCTTCCCCTGGCACCGGGTGGCAGCCCTGGGCTCTTTGCATAACCTTGAGGCTTCCCTATCTTCACCCAAGGCAGCGGCACCACGGAGGGGAAGGGCAGGGGCTGGCCGCCATGGCGACGCCCTTCTCCCAGCCCCGGCGGCGCCCTCCCCTTTTGCACCAGGCCATCAAGATAAGACGCCGCCGAGTCAGAGATCTGCAGAATGCCCTGCCCCACAGGGGTCAGGAGGTAGGAGGGACCTTAGTGGGGGGAAGAGCAGGCCTGGCTGGGGCTCTGCCCTCTCTGGGTGCGGGGTCCCACCTCCTGTGGGCTGCAGCTGAGGATGTGTGCCCCTCTCCTGCCCACCCTAGCCTCTGGCAGAGCCTTTGGGGTCTGCAGAAGAGGCTCTGCCATGTGTTCTCTGGGCCAGCCTGGGCCTCAGGTCTGGGATCTGAGCCCTTCGGAGGCCCCTCCCTCTCGCGCCCCAACCCCAGCCATCCTCTGCTCCTCCAGTCCCCAAAACACCTGCTCCACTAGGCAGGGAGTGTCCGCTGGGGGCTGGGCCTTCGGGGGCCAGCTGAGCAGCCCCCAGGCCTGCTTGGCGTGAGCCCCCAGTCTCCCACCTCTGCTGCTGGGCCTCACTTCCGCCGCCGGGGTGCGGAGCGGAGCCGCCCGATAAGCAGCGCTGTTTCCTCTGGGGAAGGGAGGGAGGTTGGGGGAGGTTGAGGCCACGGGCGCCTGCTGGCGCAGCTGAGCCGGCACAGCTGAGCGCCAATGGACCCGAGCCACGGCGGGCCAGGGGATGAGGAAGGTGGCCCGGGTGCCGGACCCCCGGGAGCCCTGCTGTGGGAACAGGTGTGCGGCACTGGTGGGGCTGGAGGCCAGGTGCTGGGGCCCCCTCAGCCCTCGGGCTGGGCCTGCTCTGTGAGGAGCCGTTCCCGCGTCTGAGCCCTGGTCCAGGCCTCTGGGACACCTTGTTTTTCCACCTCGCTCCCCAGATCGAGCCAACATCCCACCACTTGTCCCCTGAGGAGGTAAGAATCGGAGTGTTTCCGGGGCGCAGAGGGGTGCTGGGAAGCAGCCCTGCATCCTCCCAAACACCCCCCTAGGCTGCTGGCCAGGGCTGGGTCTCAACCCCCTCCCCTCCGCCGCACGTGTGGATGCCTGGTCCCCACCTTGGGCATGTGCCGTGAGTGCCAGGGGTGGCTGGTGGGGCTCAGACCTTGTGGTGGGTGGACGGGGGTTCCCAAGGTGACCCTGCTGTGTCTCAGCGGGCCCTGCTCTACGAGGAAGCTCTCTACACGGTCCTGTACCGCCTGGGTCAGCCTGAGTCCGCCCATGTCGGGGAGTCCTCTGAGCTGCTGCAATACCTGCAGGAGGTGAGGCCAGCCCCCACTCCACCTGCCTCCCTGCAGCCTGGCCGTGTCCCCCCACTCCCACCCCGTGCCCCAAGCTTCCCACACTCCTACACCACCAGGCCTTCCAAGTGGAGCCCAAGGAGCACGAGCAGATGCTGCGGCAGGTCCAGGAGCTCGAGGTAAGCCTGCCAGGGCTATCCTGAGCAAACACGGGGGCTGGGAAGCCCAGCTCCCTCTGGGACTCAGGCCCCACCTCCTGTCGCTCCAGAAACCAATATTCTGTCTGAAGGCCACGGTGAAACAAGCCAAGGGCATTCTGGGCAAGGATGTCAGTGGTGAGTAGGCGATGGGGGGCCCTGAGGGCCTTCGTCCTGGCTCCCTCTCCCCATCACAGCCGGTCCCAGAGCTTGTGATGCAAGTTCCCATCTCCCAAACATCCCCTGGGGCTCACTTTGGTGCTGCTGGCCCCTTGTCCTTGGAGCCTGGGATGGAGAGGGGTAGGGGGTGTTAAGGACTCTCCCTGGGAGCCTAGCCAACACCCCTCCCCTTCCTCCCCAGGGTTCAGTGACCCCTACTGCCTGCTGGGCATCGAGCAGGGGGTGGGTGTGCCGGGGGACAGCCCTGGGCCCCAGCGGCGGCAGAAGGCCGTGGTGAGGCACACCATCCCAGAGGAGCAGATCCACCGCACCCAGGTCATCACTCAGACACTCAACCCCGTCTGGGACGAGACCTTCATCCTGTACGTGGCCCTGCCCCAGTTCCTACCCGCTCTGGGCCAGCAGCACTTCCTGGCTCGGGGGAGGGAGCTTGGTTTGACTGGAGGAGGAGCCTGCTCCAGAGGCAGGCGAGACTGACAGGAAGCCAAGCAGGACCCAGCAATGGCTTAAATGCCACGTGCTGGTGGGCAGCGGAGGGTCAGGCACATCTGGGTTGATCTGGGGGGTAGCCTGAAGGCTTACTTTAAAGGAGAGACTAAGACTTGGCAGTGGGTGATACTGGATGGCAGTTTTGGGGGGCAGGCTCAGGGCTGAGGTAGCCTGTGGCCGGGTCAGGGGTCTATCCCTCCAAGACCCTCAGCCATGCTCTTTTCTCACTACAGGGAGTTTGAGGACATAAGCAATGCCAGCTTTCGTCTGGACATGTGGTGAGGAGCATGTTCCCCCCGCCCCCGTAGGGGTTGGGAAGAGAAGGGGGCCTGGAGGTGAGGGTGGCAGAAAGGGGTTGGGGGCTCCCAGGACACCCTCTCCGCCTCCTGCTCAAACCTCTGCCCCACCAGGGACATGGACACCGTGGAGTCCGTCAGACAGAAGCTCGGGGAGCTCACAGATCTGCACGGGCTGCGAAGGTGAGGGCCGTGGGTTTCCCGGGGAAGGAGTCGGGGCTCCTTCTGCCCTGTCTCCACATGCGTACTGGTTGTTGGGCTGCAGGCTCTCACCTGGGCCCAGGTGGCTGCAGGTAGGGAGCAGATTCCAGCCTGACCCGGTCAGGCTCCTGGCCCCTCTCCCTCACGGCACCCTGCCTGGAACAGGATCTTTAAGGAGGTCCGGAAGGACAAAGGTCAGGATGACTTTCTGGGGAACGTGGTTCTGAGACTACAGGTGAGTGGAGTGGGGAAAGGTTCCCGGGAGAGAGGCAGAGAGGGGGTGACGAGGGGATCAAGGGAGGTGTTCCAGGTCTGCACCAAGCGGAGCCTGGGGTCTGCCTCCCCTGCCCCCGACCGGGTGAGGCTCCTGCGGCTCACAGGTGTGGGCATCCCCTGCCTGCCTGGCCTGCCAGGACCTGCGCTGCCGGGAGGATCAGTGGTACCCTCTAGAGCCTTGCACGGAGACCTACCCAGACCGTGGTCAGTGTCACCTCCAGTTCCAGTTCATTCACAAGCGGGTAGGTGGCCCTGCTGGGTGGGGAGGAGGGACTGCACTGGGCGTGGGGTCCTCTGCTCACGGCCGCGCCGGCCCCCCTGCAGAGAGCCACCGCGGCCAGCCGCTCGCAGCCCAGCTACACAGTGCACCTCCACCTGCTGCAGCAGCTCGTGTCCCACGAGGTCACCCAGCACCAGGTACTGCCCTCCCGGGGCTGGGCAGGGCCAGGGTCTGCCTGTCAGGTCCTGACACCCTCCACCTGTCCCCTCAGGCAGGCAGCACCTCCTGGAATGGGTTGCTGAGCCCCCAGGCTGCCACCGTCCTCTTCCTCCACTCCACGCAGAAGGACCTGTCCGACTTCCACCAGTCCATGGCGTGAGTGCCCTTCCAAGCCCGAGTGCCCGAGGGCCGTCTGCGCCGCACCACCCTCTCCCTCCCTGCGTGCCCTCCTGCTGGCTGACAGCCTGAAGTCTAACCCTCAGGACATTTCTGTTTGCGGCCCAAACTGTGTATTTTAAGTTTTGAGTCAGTTGCCAACTTTTAAAACTCTGGAGATTCGCTGTGCAGGTTCACATCACCAGTTTCCCGTGAAAGCTTCGTGCTGGAATTGCAGGGCTGTCGCTTTGCTGGGCTGCAGGTGGTCAGAGCAGAGTAGCATGCCCTCCCCCATCCATCACAGTTGCCATCTGGACGCTTCGTCCCCTGACACCACCTGAGTCCTTCTGGGCAGTTGAGTTTGCCACTCCGGGCCCATACCCCAGGGCCATTGAACAAATCTGTGCGCTGATGCTCCTGGATCCGTGTTGAGGGCCTGTCACCTCCCCTGAGCCTTGTTAGATTACGGGAATGCCAGGAAGGACACACAGGAGTTTGTAGATTTTTCCATGCACGAGAGGAGTAGGGGCACAGCCCGGGGGCTGCCAGGAGGAGGACTGAGAGTGGGAGCTGACACTTGGCATTCAGTGGCGGGTCAGAAGGAGGCTGGCGGAGAAGGGCAGCTTCTAGGACCAGGGGCAGGTGGGTATTCCTGGATGGCTGTGGGGAATGCAGGTGAGGCTGGAGACTGGAGCAGGCACCAAGGGTGAGGGCCTCATCTGCCTGCAGGGCCTCAGCAGGGAGTGCGGCGCTGTGTCGGGGCTGCTGTTCTGCCCCAGCCTCCTCCTCCCTCCCTCTTGTCTCAGTTCGGTCACCTCTGTGAAGTCTCCCCTCGGCTCTCTGAAGGGACGCTCTAGCTGAAGTTTTACATGTACTTGAAGGCTCGAGTCTCCAAATCTGATTTCTCAAAAGAAGCGAGAAGTCCTGAATTTTAAAATCACAAATATTCTAATTTAAGAGATGGACAATTCATTTACATGTTTGAGAAGCACTAATGGAACAAAAACAATCCTGTGGTTTACCTTCAGCCACTGGTTTTCAGACTCCGCGGGTCGATGGGGATCCCCAGGAGGCTTTGGGTGGGGGGTGGGGTGGGGATAACGCCCTGCCCCCCGCCTCTAGACCTTTCAACCTTCGAGGTAGAAAATTCTGTACAGTCCACCTACTCTAACATCCCATACTGCAATGGCCTGGAGAGGTGAAGAGGTCTTCCCAAGATCACAGCTGGTTAATTGAATTTCAGAGTCTTCCACACTGTGGCTCCTGGGTATCTCATCTTCATCTCAGGCTATTTCCCCCTGTTCTCTATATTCTGGCTCATCTCATCCTCCTTTAATTCCTCATATGCATGATGCTCTCTTTTGCCTCTAAGCCTCTGCACATGCTACCCCCACTGTTTGGATTAATTCCTCTTTATCTCTCTCTGGACAACTTTCTCACTTAATTTTCTGATCTCAGCTTATCCTGTAGGCTTAGTAAAGTCTCCGCTTCCATGTTTTCATAGTACCCTTTATATCCCCTTGGAAATGCTTATCACACCTGCAATTACATGTTTGATGCTTATTCCCCACCCCACCCCCACCCCCCTGCCAGGCCAGGCCAGGTGAGCTGTGGGAAGGAAGGTGCCCCTCTTGGCCAGGCTGAGGGCTTTCTGTCTGCCGCAGGCAGTGGCTGGCCTACAGCCGTCTCTACCAGAGCCTGGAGTTCCCCAGCAGCTGCCTCCTGTACCCCATCACCAGCATCGAGTACCAGTGGATCCAGGGCCGGCTCAAGGAAGAGCAGGTGGGCTGGGACGGGGTGAGGGGTGTTGGGCAGGCAGGGCTCAGGGAGCGGCTCCCCGGGCCCCATAAAGCAGCCCCCGCCTCACAGCACCGTCCTGGCCCTGCAGCTGGAGGAGCTGGCCGCCTCATTCAGCTCCCTGCTGGCCTATGGCCTCTCCCTCATCCGGAGGTTCCGCTCTGTCTTCCCCCTCTCCGTCTCCGACTCCCCAGCCCGGCTGCAGTCACTTCTCAGGTCAGTGGTTACCCCCCTGCTTCAGTGGAGTCGGGGACGGGGAACAGCTGGGGCACCTCTGGGGTGGGGAAGCCTGCCGGAGGAATGAGTGGGGGCTACGGGGCAACGGGCATCTTGCACACGACTCTCTCTCCCCACAGGGTCCTGGTACAGATGTGCAAGATGAAGGCCTTTGGAGAACTGTGCCCCGAAAGCGGCCCCCTGCCCTGCCTGGTGACCGAGGCACTGCAGGTATGGTGCCCACCCTGTAGGTGAGGTGCCTGGGCCCAGCAGCCCTCCCTGCTCACTGTCTCTCTGCCCACAGACTGGCACCACTGAATGGTTCCACCTGAAGCAGCAGCACCATCAGCCCATGGTGCAGGTGAGGGGGCTCAGGTGAGAAGGTGGGTGGTGGGACAGGATGCTTGCCCCTCAGAGCCCTGCCTGGCTCACCTCTGCCCCTGCCAGGGAATGCTGGAGGCGGGCAAGGCCTTACTGAACCTGGTACAAGACATCATTGGCGACCTGCACCAGTGCCAGCGCACCTGGAGCAAGATCTTCCATAAGTGAGCAGGCGGCCGGGCCGGGAGGCAGTGCAGCAGGGGCTCAGAATGGGGACCAGAGGGACCCCACTGTGTGCCGCCAGGTCACACCTGCTGCCTTTCCTCCAGCGTCCTCAAGATCGACCTCTTCTCCATGGCTTTCCTGGAGCTGCAATGGCTGGTGAGCGCCCCACCCCCGCCCCACCCACCCACTGCGTCCCAAGGCCACGCCCTCTGCCCTGGCTCTGGAGCTCCGCCTACCACGCCTTCCCTTTGCAGGTGGCCAAGAGGGTGCAGGACCACATTGCGGTGGTGAGCGGTGCCGTGACCCCGGAGATGGGCGAAAGTCTGTTCCAGCTCTACGTCAGCCTCAAGGAGCTCTACCAGCTGGGCCCGGTCCCCTCGGAGAGGTGGGCAGCAGACTGGCTGCAGGGAGAGGAGGGCCCAAAGCCCGCAATGGCCCCGGCTTTCCCCAGGCTGACCCTGGCTCTCCCCAGGGATGGCGTCCTGGCCCTGGAAGGCTTCCACCACTGGTTCCAGCCGGCCATCCCCTCCTGGCTGCAGAAGACGTACAGTGTGGCCCTGGAGCGGGTGCAGCGCGCTGTGCAGATGGACGAGGTGGGGTTGCGGCCTGGGCTAGGGGCAGAGTCCCACATTTCGGGGTGTGGCTCGCAGCTCTGCCAACCGTGTGGCATGTGCGGAAGCGGTTAACCAGCTTTGAGCGGTGCTCTCGAGGCCAGCTGAGTGCAAAATTCTGCCTCCTGTTATATTGGGGGGGGCTTCATCTACGTGCTGATCCCTGCAGCCTGGGGGGGTCTGGGCAGAGCCCTGCTTGTTCACCTTGCAGCCCCCTGCCCAGCTCTGTGCTTGCTGGCTGTATGAGCTCTGGATGCGGGGAGGGAGAGCATGGATTTGGCCAGCCTTGAGCCCTCCTTTCTACACACTCCCCCATCTCCTAGCTGGTGCCCCTGGGTGAACTGACCAAGCACAGCACATCGGCTGTGGATCTGTCCACCTGCTTTGCCCAGATCAGCCACACTGCCCAGCAGCTGGACTGGCCTGACCCAGAGGAGGCCTTCATGATCACCGTCAAGTTTGTGGAGGTGCAGCCTCATTCCCACCCCATGATTTCTCCCAAGTTCTCATCCTGGCAGCCTCCAAAAGCCTATGCCCTAAATCCCCCAAGTCACTGAAATTCCTTTGCCTCCCCCCGCATCTGCCTCTCCTCGGCACTCCCCACCCCCATTGATCATGCCCTCCTCACCCCAGGACACCTGTCGGCTGGCCCTGGTGTACTGCAGCCTTATAAAGGCCCGGGCCCGTGAGCTCTCTGCCGGCCAGAAGGACCAAGGCCAGGCAGCCAACATGGTAAGGGCCAGAGCTGGGAGCTGAGGCTGGGCCCGGGTAGGGGTGGAGCCTGCCAGTCCTGGCACTATTCAGGAAGCTCAGCATCCCTGTGCCCACGCCTGCCTGCAGCTATGTGTGGTGGTGAATGACATGGAGCAGCTGCGGCTGGTGATTGGCAAGCTGCCCACCCAGCTGGCATGGGAGGCACTGGAGCAGCGGGTAGGGGCCGTGCTGGAGCAGGGGCAGCTGCAGAACACGCTGCATGCCCAGCTGCAGGGCGCCCTGGCTGGGCTGGGCCATGAGATCCGCACTGGCGTCCGCACCTTGGCCGAGCAGGTAATTTGTTAGACCCACAGTGACCCCACCCCACCCATCCTCAGCCTGAAGTACCCTCCAGCAGGACTTGGACCAATGTCCAGCCCCCTTCCCTTCCTGAACCTAAACTCAGGCCCCAAGCAACCTCTCCTGACCCCCGACTCACACCCTGGCCTCCCTCCTACCGTTTTGTGTCTCCAGCTGGAGGTGGGCATTGCCAAGCACATCCAGAAGCTCGTGGGCATCAAGGAATCCGTCCTGCCTGAGGATGTGAGTGGCCCTCCCTGCTTGCTGACCTTTGCCAGCAATGTGGGTCAGGGATTGCAAAGGGGCTTAGGGTGGGCAAGGGGCTGAAGGCCATGGGGTGTCAGAGATAAGTCCCCCAGACTTGGGCAAGGAATGTTCCCTCCTGGCCTCGGTTTCCCCCTTAGATGCTAAGAGGGTGGGGTTGGGTCATTCCACGGGCTCTCCCAGCACTGACGGTCAGTGTGGGAGCTGCAGTGGGGGAGGCTTTAGACTTTGCAGCCAAACAGCCCCAGGCATGACTCCTTCTTAGCTGCCTACTAGCTAGCTGTTCTATTTATATAGGTCAGCTGACCTCAGGCTCGTCATCTGTCAGCGGGGATAATAATTACACCTGTGATTGCTTGGGAGAGTGCTACTCATTAATTCATCAACTATTTAAGCACCCACTTTGTCCCAGGTATTGATTTAGGCACTGGGGATATATATCAATGAACAGTGTGACGAAAGTCCCTGCCTTCCTAGAGTTTTCATTCTAGTAGAGGAGGTGAAAAAAGAGCTAAGTAGATGACTATAGCTCTAGCTATTATTAGAACTATACATATATGTGTGTGTGTGTAAACATATATATATGTATACACACACATATCATATGTTAGTTAATGATAACCACTCAAGAGAAAAATAAAGCACACAAGGGAATGGAAAGGGTCAGAGGACTGTATTTTTAGATAGTGGCCAGAGGAGGCCTTACTTGGAGGGTGACAGCTGAGTCAAGACCTAAAGGAAGGAAGAGAAGGAGCCACGAGGATTTCTATGGGAGAGAACAGCATGGGCAAAGGCCCTGAGGCAGGACCAGGTCTGGCAGGTTCAGGGCTATAGAAAAGGCTATACTGCCTCCAGTGTGGCTGGAGCCGACTGTGGTCAGGGGCTGGCTCTGCACACATTCCACAGATGCGCAGAAAAGCTCCTAGCCCTGTTTCCTCTCCGGGCAGGGGCAAAGGAATGGGGGTGGGACCAGAATGGGCCAGAACCAGATGTGCTGCCTCCCCTCCCCAGGCCATTCTGCCCCTGATGAAGTTCCTGGAGGTGAAGCTCTGCTACATGAACACCAACTTGGTGCAGGAGAACTTCAGCAGGTCTGCAGCAGCCGCCTGCCCTGTGGCGCCCCATCACCTCCACCTCTCCTCCCACCCGCCCCTCCTTCCTGGCCTCAGCATCCATCCTCAGGGGAGGATGCAACCAGACTCTCTTAAATGCTTGCTCCAAGGGTCAGGGCGCTCATGGCCGCACAATGCTATCCATTTCACCTTAGGCTGAGCTGAAACCTGTCTGTTCTTTCTCCCTTAGCCCTGGGCTGCGTCTTCGGGAGGCTGCAGCTCTGCCCTCCCTAACATTACAGGCAGCTGGTGTTCCAGGGGAACTTTTCGTTAGGGTCTCTCTCAAAACAGGACCCAGCACGCTGGGCAGCAGTGGGTAGAGGTCAAGGGCATGGGCTCTGGACGACCTGGATTCATACTCCAGTTTCACTGCTGCTTGGTGGGTGGCCTCGAGCAGATTACTCAAGTTTTCTGTGCAGATGATCATAGTTCTGGCCTCTACTGAGGACTAAATGAGTCATGTGAAGTGCCGAGAGCAGTGCCTGCAACAAAGGAAGTGGTTGATGACTGAGCTGCTGTGACGATGGTGACAGTGATGACGACAGGTCCCCCACATGGGGCTGCTGGCCCCCAGAGTTCTGCTCCTGGTGGGGCAGCAGGGCCTCGGGAGCCCACCTTCTTTATTTCCTAGGCCAGAGAATGCCATTTGTTCAGCTCTAATCTTCACACAAAATAGAGTTTAATCTCTAAGACAGGAGCTTAATTTACCACTCACTGCCTCAGAACATTTAGAACAGTGTCTGTGCATAATGAGCACTTAAGTATGGGGACTAGATTAACTACTTTTATTTTTTATTAATTTATTTTATTTTTGGCTGCGTTGGATCTTCGTTGCTGTGCGTAGGCTTTCTCTAGTTGCGGCAAGCGGGGGCTACTCTTTGTTGCGGTGCGCAGGCTTCTCATTGCGGTGGCTTCTCTTGTTGCTGAGCACGGGCTCTAGGCGCCAGGCTTCAGTAGTTGTGGCACGAGGGCTTAGTTGCTCCGTGGCATGTGGTATCTTCCCGGACCAGGGCTCGAACCCACGTCCTGCATTGGCAGGCGGATTCTTAACCACTGTGCCACCGTGGAAGCGCCCCACCCCCGTTCTTAATTACACATTTTTTGTGCTCATCTGCCTGACTCTACTTTGACAAGTGAAATTTCAGTTATTTCAGGTTTTTATTAGGAGGTTCTGTGGCTTGGTTGCTATTTTTTTCTCGCCGCAGGTAGTACATGCTTACCCATGCTGTGTGCTGAGATCCTATTCATTTCGGTCACTCCCATCTTGACTCATGATTTTGTCATTGGGGGACCACCCTCCTGCTCCTTTTTTTGTTGGGGTTTGTTAATCCTAGTGAGAAGAATCCTTCACTAGCTTCCGAGACATGTTGGATAGGACTAGGCCTGTCTGCCCCGCCCCCTGCCCTCCTTCCCTCAGCAGACCAGCCCTCCCTCCCTCCCCTGCCTGCAGCCTGGGCCCCAGTCCCACCAGTGAGGCAGGTGGAGGGTGGGGGTGGGGAGGCACTGGCGAACGGGGGTGGGGTGGGGGGTGGGGTGGGCCTGGGTCCCACGAGGCCTCTTCTTTCTCAAGAGCATCTCCGCTTCCTCCTCTTCTGTCCTCCTGTCCTGTGTCCGGCATCCCTCTGCACGGCACCCCAGCCTTCTGACCTTGCTGTGGACCCACACGCTCACGGTGCTGGCGGAGGTGGCCGCTTCCCAGCGGAGCTGCCCTCTGGCTTCTAGCAGGCTGAAGATCGCACTACAGGTAATAATACCAGTGACAACAATAAAAACCCTGGTGGGAGAGTGCCTGGGGGTCACCTCTGATGTCTCGCCCCCTAGAACCTGGAGATCTGCTTCTATGCAGAGGGCTGTGGCCTGCCGCCCGAGGCCCTGCACACGGCCACCTTCCAGGTAGGGGCCTTTTGGTTAGCTGGTGGTGTGGGGAGCCTGCCTTCCTGTGCTCACCTGTGTCCAGGACCAGCTACATGATTTACAGGGCCCAGCACAAAATGAAAATGTGGGCCCCTTTAAAAAAACATAATTGAGGGCACCTCCCTGGCGGTCCAGTGGTTAAGACTCAGCGCTTCCAGTGCAGGGGGAGCAGGTTCCATCCCTGGTCCAGGAACTAAGATCCTACATGCTTCGTGGCACAGCAAAAACCAAGACCAAACAAACAAACGCCCCCCCACCAAACCAACAAAAAACCCCTCCACCTGTGAAGTTCTTCTAAACACGGTTGGGGCGGGGGCGGCTTTGAGACACACCTGTGGAGCCCACCCTGTCGGTGCCTCTGGCTGTTGCCAGGGCAACCCTGCGTGTGGTCCCCCAGCGCCCAGTGCTTTCCACTTCCCGTTGTCGTCTCCCATTGGCTGCAAGCTTCTGAAGGGCAGCACTGGGCTGCGACTGTGTGACAGCTCAAGTGACTCCTCAGCTGTGCCCCATCCCCAGGCTCTGCAGAGGGACCTGGAGCTGCAGGCGGCCTCCAGCCGGGAACTCATCCAGAAGTACTTTTGCAGCCGCATCCAGCAGCAGGTGAGTCTCCCTCCTCCGCCGCGCTCGCTGCGCGCCTGGAGCCCCGCCTCGCCCGCTCAGCCCCTGCTGACGCTGCCCCTGCGCCCCGCCCCCAGGCAGAGACCACCTACGAGGAGCTCGGGGCCGTCACAGTCAAGGCCTCCTACCGCGCCTCCGAGCAGAAGCTGCACGTGGAGCTGCTCAGCGCCTCCAGCCTGCTGCCCCTGGACTCCAATGGTGAGTGGAGGCTGGCCCCGCCACTCTCCGTGTCCCCACTCTGGTCCCCCGAGTCCCCACTCTGGTCCCCCGAGTCCCCGGGGGCTCTGCTCGTCCAGCCTGAGCACTGGGTGCATTTCTGCTGGATTACCAGGAGGGGGCAGTGCTACTGAGCGGGGCACAGCTGCTGGCGTGGGCACCGGAGGCGGGGCTGGGACATCCTCGGCCAACGTCCCCTCCCCGGCCACTTGCCAGGCTCCAGCGACCCCTTTGTCCAGCTGACCTTGGAGCCCAGGCACGAGTTCCCTGAGCTGGCCCCCCGAGAGACCCAAAAGCACAAGAAGGACCTTCACCCACTGTTCGATGAGACCTTTGAATTGTGAGTGGTCCCACTAGCCCTGGACCCGCCTCAGGCCTGCTCCTCCCAGCTGAGGCGGGCCGAGGGGCTCCCATCAGAGGACTGGGTTTGAGTCCCAGGGAGGGAGCACTTGGGACAAGTGTTTGCTGGCACAGGCCTCAAACCTGCTCCCCTGCAGGTGGAGTGGGGCTGCTGGGGAGACTCCTCCCAGTCTCTGAGTCCAGTGTTGGACTCAGAGGTTTGCTTTCAGGGAAGGGTGCTGCCCCTGAGGTCCTCTGTTCCCCCAGTCAGGCGGGCCTGGGTACACAGGGGCCCCTGGTTTAAAGCATCAGCCCACAGTCAGAGCAGGCATCATGGCGTGTGGCCCAAGGTACACCAGGCTGAGAGCTCTCAACCCTAATCCCATGCGTCTGGGCGAGCCTGCGTCGGGGTTCTGTGTGGCCACGGCAGCACGTGGGGCAGGCAGCCGAGCCCGGCTCTGCCCCCCGCCCAGCCTGGTGCCTGCTGAGCCGTGCCAGAAGGATGGGGCGTGCCTACTGCTCACGGTGCTGGATCACGACACGCTGGGGGCTGATGACCTTGAAGGGGAGGCCTTCCTGCCGCTGCGCTCGGTGCCGGGCCTGACGGGGACTGTGGAGCCCGGCGACGTGCCTCAGACCCGCCTGCCCCTCACCTACCCTGCACCCAACGGTAGGCCTGAGCCCTGTGAGTGTGGGCCCTGGCCCAGCACTGGGGATACAGGGGAGGGGCAGCCGTGAAAGGCTCAGGGGCCCCCAGAGGCCGAGTTGGGGTCAGAGGAAAGCCTCCTTGGAGGCGGAAGCCTGTGGAGCCAGCGTGGTGGCTTGTGTTGCTGAGATCTCACACCTGGTCAAGGACCAGTGAAGGTTAAGTTAGGCCAAGTGTGTGCGACTCTCTCTGGTGGGATAAGGTCACCAACAAGTTTGCCTGGGGAGAGGGGCCATTTCTGTGCCCCGGGGGCACATTCTTGCAGAGCAGTCCCCAAGCTTGATAAGAGGAGTAGGTCTTGTGTTTGAGCACTCACGATGGGTCAGTTCTAAGCACTGGACATATGTTAACCCTCAGTCCTTACAACCACTCAGTGAGTCAGGTGTTATCGCTACTCTCCGAATGAGTAAACTGAGGCACGAATTGGTGGACTGGCCCAGGGTTCTTGTATGAAAAGTAATAGTCGCCACCTGAGGCACGTCAGCCTCTCGCACCGCAGGTGCACCCCGCTGCCCAGGGGTGGCAAACGCGTTTCCTGCCTCACCTGTCAGGCTGTCTTGTGAGCTTGGCTGGTGTGGGCCCATCGCTAATTTTTGGAGAATGGGGCAGGGCTGCAGCCCCCGCCACTCCCTGAGTCTGACCCCCAAATGCCTCTCTTTGCAGGGGATCCAATCCTGCAGCTGTTAGAGAGCCGGAAGGGTGACCGCGAGGCCCAGGTGTTTGTGCGGCTGCGGCGGCAGCGAGCCAAGCAGGCCTCCCAGCACGCGCCGTGGCCAGGGCGGTAGCAGCGGGGCTTGGGTCCCTGGGAGGCCTGTGTTCTCCCCACCACAGTGCAGCCCTCCCACCTGGCCTAACACTCCAGGAGGGCCCTGCAGGTCGGGGGAGCACCAGTGTGCGGGGTTCCCGCTGCCAGAGCTGGGGCCCACAGTGATGGGGGCCCCATTCGCAGTATTTATACCCCCTCCTTCCTCCCCTCAGCCCCAGCCTCAGCATTCTCTGCCAAATCCAGCCCCTGGGGGAGCGGAGACAGCTGTCTGCACCCCTTACCCCTGCTCCTCTCTTAGGGAAAAGCTGCTCTGGCAGAGGAGGGGCTCAGCCCTTCCTCTTCTGGCAGGCCTGTTCCAGCCACTGAAGTGGGGGGCCAGGTGCCTTGGGCCCTATTCTTCAGCAGCCATAATGAAGGGAGCCTGGGTCCTCTCCTGAGGGAGCTGCCAGCACCCAGGCTAAGGAGCCTAGAGCCAGGGACCTCCTGGCTCTGAAGGGGTGAGAACTGGTGGGCGGTGGGGCTGGCACAGTTTGGCTATCTGTGTCTGCTGAGGACCGCTCCTCCTTGGGACAGTACCTAGAAATTTTTTTAGCAAAAATAAAAAAATTAACGATACATCGTCCTATTACTAAACATACTGTTGGCCTGCAGCGGGGCCTAGGTTACAGCCAAGCCATCACAAACCCCTCCTCAGCCCTCAGGAGGGCCTGGGCTGCCCCCGACTCTGGGCCCCAGCCCACCGCTCACTCCCCGTTACAGAGCAGCGGGGTAGGTGTGGAGGTAACTGACGCAGTAGCAAAGCCTTCGAACAAAACACCACCAGACCTATCAGGTTCTGTCGCCACTGCCCAACACAGGAGCCTGGCACTCATGGGGGTACCATGAGTGGGGGGGGCCTCCCAGGGGTGCAGGCTGAGGCCAAGGGGCTGATCTGAACAGCAGGGCTTAGAGGAATGGGGCCCCAGACCTGCCTGGGGGAGTGGCCCATATGCTGGGAGTCAGAGCCTGAGGCTCACTTCTCATTCCAGTGTGACCGTGGTTGAGTCACCTAACCTCTCTGAGCCTGCACAGGTATGATGGATGGGGGGAGGTCAGATAAGACCACGTCCAAGGCTTCTTTCGGCTCTGCTCCTCTGAGACCCACACAGAAGGCTCAAAAGGTGTGTGTTTTCCCACCCACCTAACAGGCCAGCTAAGAGCAGGGGAAGGGAGGTGGCTCAAAGGCTCCCTCAGGGGGCAGGCCCACCTTTCTTTCGATGCTTTTATGAGCAGGCACTGTCTGTTCTTCTGAGAAACTACTAGGGGCCTTGTTGTCTTTTGGAAAACAGTAAGTATACCAGTTGCATCTGACGGTAGAGCTCTGAAGAGCCCTAGGGCCTGGGAGGTCTCTGGGTCCAGGGCTTAAAGGTCCCCATCCCATCAACCCCAGCAGGCCTGCGTCAGAACACTCAAGCTCTGTCTAGGAGCCTGGAGCAGGCTTTGGGCCTGGATGGGCCCAGAGTGCCTCAAGGCCTCTTCAGCTACCTAGCCATACCTCAGGGGTCAGGAACGAGCCTTTCCCATGGCTGAAACCTGGGCTGGGCTGGCTGAGCTGGGCCAGAGGCCCTCCTTTAGGGCCCAACTGTCCCTCACCCCGACATAAACAAGCTACCACCGCAAGTTCATATTTTATTTCCAATACGTTTGGAGCTTTGATTTTTGCGTTTTTGTAAAAAAGTTTTCACTTAATTCGTTGAAAGCCCTTTCGTGCTGAGCCCAAGGGGGCGCCTGGGCCGGGCCAGACCCTTTGCAGCCCTCTTGCTCCCACCCCCAGACCCCCAGTGCTGGGAGTGGGGTGGCTTCCCTCTGCCCACACTGCCCTCCCACCCCCTGCTGCATCTCTCTGTACAGAACAATTTTAAAAATGGAAGCTAAGACACAATATACATTGGACAGGCACGCACACACACGCACACAGGCGTCCGCTCCAAACGGGCAGGACGTCAGCTGCACTCAGAGAGCACCAAGGAATGCATACGGAGCCCCTCCTGGGGAGGAGGGCGGGGCCTGAGCCCCACCTTGGTCCTCACAGTCCGCAGCTCCTCCCCACCTATTGCCCTGCTAGCTGCCAGAGGGAGGGGTGGACAGCACGAAGGGCTGTGCAGAGGGGAGACAGCTGAGGGCAGCTGGGGGGTGATGGAGAGGGCAGTGCCAGCCTGGTAGGTCGCCCTGGGGCCAGGGAGGCTGCTCTAGGAGCCCAGGGGTGGGGGGAGGACTGGGGTACACCCCCGGCCTCAGGTACCTGAGGGGTAAAAGGCCTGGGCTTTGCCCCTCAAGGAGCTGCAAGGGCCCAGGGTTGGGAGTGGGACTGGCCCCACAGCTTTGGCCTGCCAGCCTGGACTAAACACACGCTTGGTAACCCTAGAGCTCGGCGGGCTTGGATCCCCCGCTCTCAAGCCTCACAGCTGGGAACCAGGTCTGGGCCCAGGTCCTCCACACCCCTGGCTCTCGCCCTGGCCTGGGGAAGTGGGGTGAACAGGGCCTGCCCTGAAGGCTTGGCCCCTCCCCTTGGCCCCTTCTAGCTTTCCACCCTTCCCTGCTCAGGCCCCAGGAAGAAGTTAAAAATAGTTCCTACATAAAAAAGAGGCTGAAACAGATTCCCTGCCAAAAGGCTGGTGGGAGAACAGGGGACTTTGTCTCTGCAGTGGGAAAGGTAGGGAGCGGGCAGAGGGGCGACCGCAAAATAGTTTTTTCTCTTAAAAAGTGCTTGGTAAGTCTGTTTTAAAGTGTGTGTCTATATCCATGTATAGATATACACACAGACACTGTTCACACACTGGCCGCCCACGCACACCTACACACATACAGAAATGTATACATAATCATATACATATACATACATACATACATACATACATACATACATACATACATATATATACTTTAAAAAGTCCTAGGGGAGAAGATCTGAGCCAGGCCGGGGCCAGGCCTGCAGGGTCACGACTGGAGGGCGTGGGCCCGGCCTGGCTGGCAGACGGGGCACTCACTGCCCTCGGCACAGAGCTCACACAGCACGGCGTGTTGGCACGGCAGCACCGCTCGGTTCTGCTCCTGACACTTAAGGCATTTCACCGACTGCATGTGGAACACGGCCTGTGGGGAAAGGGACATCACGGTCACTGGCCCAGCCCCATGTCGGACAAAGAGCTCCCCCAACTCTCACTGTAGCCCCTTGGGATGAGGAAGCTCGACAGTGAGCTTACAGGCCCCAGCTGCTAAGGAAGAGGGCAGGGGCAGGCTGATCACCTCAAGGCACCTCATCTCTGCTTTCAGCTGCAAGGCCGAGTGGGGCTGAGTCGGAGCTGTGCGTGGGGGAACGGGCAGGGCCCAGGGCTGCTCTAGAGCTCCCAGCCGGACGGGCTTTCCCTCGCACAAAGGCTTCTGCCTCTTGTCTCGTTTGACCTTATAATGACCCTAGGTCCCCAGTGAGAACTGTGGGGTCTGGAGAGGGTAGTGACGGGCCTGAGGTGACACGGCTGCCCAGCGAAGGGAAGAATGCTCTTCCCACTGTGCCGCACTCCCCTGGGGACCCAGAAGGGCACCGAGGAATGCAGACAGTAGCCCTGGGGACCTAACCATTCTGGAATGTCTGCTGGCGTGTGCAGCGCTCACAGGAAGAGAAGTGGTTAGGATGAAACTCAGGGCCCAGGCGTACTAATGCAGCTCAGCTCAGTGCCTGCCCTCGAAAGTGCCAGGGGTGGGCCCTGGTGCCCATCTACCTCCAGGTTTCCCACCTCCCCAGTGAGTGACTTTCTATTCCGAGCTCCTCTCCAGCGGGCTGGCATTTTGTGTGAGCTCAGCGGGGACAGAGGCTCGTAGGAGGGTGGCCATCCCTGGAGCAGCAGGGACCCATCCCAGTGCAAGCACTGGCTGAGCCTACTTTACCTCCCCACCCTGTGCTCCCCAACCTCCTACGCTGACCTTGTCCACTTGCTCCAAGTGAGCCCGCAGCTGCTTCTGGAGAGAGTAGAGGGTGGAGAGTGAGAGGGCTTCCAGGTCGGAGAAGGTGGGCAGGGCCTGCGGATCGGGGGCCGAGTGCAGCCGCTCCAGCTCCTCCTGTAGTTTCTTCACCTGCACCTCCAGTGCATCTCGCTGCTCCCGGGCCAGCTCGCACTCAGCGCCTGCCGCGCTGGCCCGCTCCCCGGCCTCCTCTGCCTCCTTCTTCCAGGCATCACAAGCCTATGGACCCAACACGCAGCACCTTGTCATGATGGCCCCCCTGCCCTTGCCCCCAACCCCAAGAGTGCATCTCTGGGAGCCCGTGTGGGCCACTGTGGCTGTGGGGCCTGCGGGGGAGCTGGGTCAGGTGTCTGGGAAGTGGGGCAGGGAGGAGGGATGATGCTGCCTGCAGAGAGGAGAGGTTTCAGGACCTGCAAGAGACCCTCTGTGGGCAGGGAAAGGGGCTGAGCCCAGCACAGCAGGGGAGCACCAGGCAGAGCTGGCCAGCACCTCTAGGGGCAGCCATGCTGTGGCTGGACATAAGGCCCATCTCAGAACCTAGAACCCTGGACACAGAGCCCTGGAGAGTCAGGGCTTCTGGACAGAAGCAGGCAGTGCTATGAGCCCAGACCAAATAAGCAGCTCACAGAGGGAATCCCAGGCCTGGGATACCAGCCACCCCAGGGTCCTGACCGGCAAAGCAAGTTTTTCCACAGGGGGAGAGAATAAGCCAAACGGAGCTTCTGCTCTCTTCCCCAGGACCCCTGACCTCCCCCAGCCCCTGCACCCACTCTGTGTAAGACGGGCTCGGGCTAGATGCCACCAGGCCCCGGGAAAGGCGGGTGGGCGTGGGGGCCCAGTACCTGTTTTGCCTGCTTCCAGGACTCCTCCCACTGCTTGATGGTGCCGTTGGCTTCATCTAGCTCTTGCCGAAGCCGGGCCAGCTCGGCAGCCCCGGGCCCTGACAGGAAGGCAGGGGAAGTGCCCGGGGAGAAGCTTCCAGAGGCAAAATGCTCCCAGATGCTGCTATTCATCCCATTCA